ACCACCAGCACCACCAACTCCTCACCTCACAATCCCAACATGCACAACAAACCCACTACCCTGCCTCAATCCCTCATCCAACATCTCATCCGGCACCTGCCAAACCGTAAACTTATCGCAGAAGCTCTGGAGCCAAGCTGCAAAGACATCGGGACTTCTAAGCTGCTGGGCAATCAGACACAACGTCGGAGACTGTGAATCGCGTCTGCGACGGCAGAGGGCTGCACAGGTGCTGTTGAGGGGCTCGATGAGGGCTTCGTTGTAGATGCAGTCACATGCGATGAGCAAGTCTAGGCTGTCTGACTGGCTCACGTCGTCTGTTTCCCAGTCGAGGGCTTGGACGAGGATGTTAGGGGGGAGGGAGGGGTTTTTTGGGCGAGGGTGTGGGGATTTTGTGCGGGGTGGGGGTGGTTTCTTTTTAGGGGGTGTGAGGGTGTGGAGGTTTGTGGTGATGTTTTGGCGGAGGAGCTTGAGGACGTAGGGTTGGTCTGTGGCTGTGTATTTTGCTACGAGGGGACCGAGGCTGAGTGCGACGATGCCGGAGACGCCGGCACCGAGTTCGAGGACGGGGGAGGTGGGGGTGAGGAGGTGGTTGGTGAAGAGGAAGTTTGTGGGGGAGGAGATCCAGGAGGCGAAGAGGGGGGTTACTTTCCATACTACTGTGGGCGAGGGTTAGTTGTCTGGTTGGCCATGAGGGGTTCAGAAATGGAAAAAGATGACTTTGTGAATTGCGAGTCTAGAATGGAAACATGATCATTCATGCACCTGACAGTACACGATATCCGAATCGCTTCCCCGCAACGTTAAGAATCAGGATCTACGGCGTGGCTGCCGGTAACGTGACCTTTGACTTGAAGGAGATACCAAGAGCCGCCAAGATCTGGGGAGGCGCAGCCACGCAGCAGCCAGAAGCGAAATGGAGGACAAGAAGAGGAAGATAATTCGTACCTGCGCCCGTGGTCCCCTCTTTGCGATCAGAAGTCAGCAGACCTCGAGACTGATGTATGACCAGATCATGGCCGGCGACGGTCAACTCGAGAGTAGCAGCCTGCGCATCAATGAAGCCTAGCGACTGAGATGGGATGGCTTGCGAGAAGATGATGAAGGCCTCTGCGCGATTTGATGAGCGGGCTGCGCATAATATCCACGTCTACTATAAGGCAGTATGCTGTATGATCAAGCCGTAAAGCGAGTCACACGTATATCAACAAAGCGACGTGCCGAGGGTGGCGGCGTGGTTGTGACTTGGCGTATGGTGGAGTTGAAGGAGCATTTTGTTTTGTGCTGTACTGTACAATAGACTGTACCTGTACACACTCGGGGGAACATGGGTAGGTACGCACACACCTTCTTCAGCATCGACCAGGGGTTCAGTCCCCAGAATGGCCGTCAGATGCATCATGGGACCCGCTCGAGTCCAGACAGGCGAAAGATCAAGGCGGTGGATTGGCAAAGGTCTTGGGCAGGCGGCTAGACTCTTCGGCTGCTCTGTCTTTGCGCCGTTTGGGATGGAAGAGGGGGGGAGGCTGGCAAGTGCGTGCTCAGTGCGTTGGTGACGTCCAGCGAGATTGTGCAGCCAGCCAGCCAGCAGCCAGCAACCAGCACCAGCCTGTTGGCGGGCAAGCGAAAGGAATGGGACGGCCGCAAACTTTCTTGGCTCCGCTACATCCAACACATCCCAAGAGAGTTTTGGCTGTGGTGCCGTGTTAGGGACTAATTGCGGCGGTGACGGCGGGGGCTCGGCTTCATGTGCGATTGCTTATAGGTAAGCCATGCATCGATTGGGGGGCAGTGTCATGGAAGAACTGTGTACTGTTTGTATAGAATGACGGTGAGTGTTGTGCCAGCGTGCGTGCGTGTGCGTGTGTGTGTGTGTGTGTGTGTGTGTGTGTGTGGACGTGGAAGTTCCCAGTACGATATACGCACGTAAAGACTTTGGTGAGTGTATACAGGTGGATAACCGAAAAAGTAACCACTCGTCTCGCATAGAATAGAGCTAGGATGCTGTTATGGCAGCATGGCGGCTGGTTGTTATGCGCTGTCGATCGAGTGTGTGGCATGAGTACCAGGTCCTCTGTGCTCTGTATTGCGGCTATTTCATGTACCTGTAACCCATGGTAACCTATGTACTCCGTAATCATACCTAACTACATAGTTGTCCCCCAGGCCAAGTGCGTCATTGCTCAAGAAGCCGGGGCCTGGGTTGTTGACTGACTTGAGCTTGGCGCGCTCTTGCATCTTGAGCTTGCGCACACTGGAACACTCGCCTGAAAGCTGCCGCCAACTCCTAAGCCTCCAAAAGCCCATCCGCTGTCCTCCGCTGGTGACTATCTGCTAGTCTTTGTCACCGCTGGCCCCTTCACTGCTGCGCCTGCTCTTCATCTGCTCAGCGATCCCCCTCGCTCTGCTACTCTCCTCCCTCACCCTCACCCTCCCCCAGTACCGTTCCTACACCACATCCGCCACCATGTCGGGTGATCTGAAGAAACTCATGCCCCAGGCAAAGGCCGTCAAGCCTGGGCCCTACACAACAGAGGCCGCTGGCGCACAAAAAGTCGAGGGCGAGACGATACCGCGCCGCAACAATGCCGCCAAGGACGGCCTCATCCTCAAGCCCATGGAAGGCGTGGAGACGCTGTACGACATTCTGCGCCACGCCTCGGCCAAGTTTGGAAATGCAAAGGCCGTGGGCGCACGGCGCATCGTAAATGTGCACGAGGAGACGAAAAAGGTCAAGAAGATGGTTGATGGCCAGGAAAAGGAGGTGGACAAGACATGGCAGTACTTTGAGCTCAGCCCCTACAAGTACAAGAGCTTTGTCGAGTTTGAGCAGATGGCCCTGGCTGTGGGTAGTGGCCTCAGGGCGCTGGGCTTTGCGCCCCACGACAGACTGCATTTGTTTGCTGCAACGAGCATGCAATGGCTGGCTTCTGCCCATGGTGAGTACCAGGAGGCACACCACAGTGATTGAATGGATAGTAACTTACACACTCCAGGTGCGCTCTCACAGTCACTTGCCATCGTCACCGCGTACGACACACTCGGCGAGGAGGGCCTTAAGCACTCGATGCTTCAGACCAACGCCAAAGTCATGTTCACAGACCCTGAGCTGCTACCCAAGCTGGTGAACCCCATGAAGGATGCCAAAGATGTCCAGGTGGTTGTCTACTGCACTAAGAACGACCCCAAGCAAAAGGATATTGACGCCCTCACCAACGCACACCCACACTTAAAGGTCATCAGTTTCGATGAGCTGATCCGCATTGGCGAGGAGAGCCCGGCTGAGCCTGTGCCTCCCAAGGCCGACGACCTGGCATGTATCATGTACACTTCTGGCTCCACTGGCACGCCCAAGGGTGTCATGATCAAGCACCGCAACGTCGTTGCTGCTGGTGAGTCCACAACCCTGTTTGTATGCATACATAGTGACTATGACAACGTGCTGACACTATGAAAAGTCGCTGGTGTGGATGTGATTGTTGGCAGATATCTCGGCCCTGGTGACGTTCTCATCACCTACCTACCTGCCGCCCATATCCTAGAGTTCGTATTCGAAAACGCCGTACTTTACTGGGGTGGAACCATGGGTTACGGTACAATCCGTACCCTCTCCGACCAGTCCGTCCGCAATTGCGCCGGTGACATCCGTGAGCTGAAGCCCACTGTCATGGTCGGTGTTCCCCAGGTTTGGGAGACGATCAAGAAGGGCATCGTCAACAAGGTCGAAGCGGGCGGCGCGCTCAAGAGCAAGATCTTCTGGGGCGCTTATGCAGCAAAGAGTTTCCTTCTCAGCTCTGGTCTGCCAGGCAGTGGTATCTTTGACGCTATTGTCTTCAACAAGGTCAAGGAGGCTACAGGTGGTCGGCTGCGTATCTGCTTGAATGGTGGTGGGCCCATTTCCAAGGAGACACAGCGCTTCATCTCTATTGCGATTACGCCAATGATCAGCGGCTATGGTCTTACCGAGACTTGCGCTATGGGTGCGCTCATGGACCCTCTATCCTGGAACGAGCATGCGCTCGGCGAAATGCCGGCGTCGATTGAAATGAAGCTCGTCGACTTTGCAGATGCCAGCTACTTCACCTCTAGCAACCCACCGCAGGGAGAGATCTGGATCCGCGGTGGTAGTGTGGTCGATGGCTACCTCGACATGCCTGAGGAAACCGCAGAATCCTTCACCTCGGACGGCTGGTTCAAGACGGGCGACGTGGGCGAATTCAATGCAAAGGGCGAAATCCGCATCATTGACCGCAAGAAGAATCTCGTCAAGACACTGACGGGTGAGTACATTGCGCTCGAGAAACTCGAGTCGGTGTACCGGTCTGCTCCTATTGTGGCCAACATTTGCGTCTATGCGGCAGAGGATCGCTCGAAGCCCGTGGCCATTATCGTGCCTGCCGAGCCGGCGCTGAAGAAGCTAGCGGCGCAGGAAGGCGTCAAGGGAGACCACCTTGAGGAACTGGTGCATGACAAGAAGATCAACAGTGCGGTGTTGAAGCAATTACAAGACGCAGGCCGCAAGGGCGGTCTTGCCAGCTTCGAGACGATTGAGGGTGTTGTGTTGGCGGATGAAGAGTGGACGCCGCAGAATGTAAGTTTTTTCTTCTTTTTTGGGGAGGTGGTTATCCCGGTTCCACCACACCATCTTTTCTCGGGAGAATGAACCCAGCGATGAATGGAATACCCGGCTGACCATGACTGTTTTACTAGGGCCTCACTACGGCAGCGCAGAAGCTCAATCGCAGGGGTATTCTCAAGCAGTACCAAAAGCAGATTGATCAGGCCTATGGCAAGAAGTAGGAAGTGACGTCAAGATGAGAAGGCACATGTGGGGACGGCGTGTTGTTCCTGCTCTGTTTTGTTTGTGTGTCTATGTGATGTGATGTGTGTGTACTATGGGTTATTCGTCCAAGGTCAAGTAAAGCAATGTTTTATGTATATACCAAGGGGTGGAATCAGAATTTTGCGGCATGAGGCAGGTGAAGGGGGTTGTGGGGATGAAAGATGAATCATTGTCTTTTTTCGGGGTATGAATTCAAGCGTACTTTTGTTGCTGTTGGCGCCCGCTGTTTTGCATTGCCGTTATCGTTGTTGTTTTTGTCGTTGCCATTGTCGTTCTCGCCAGTTTCCTTTTTTTGGTGCTGGAGGTGGCTGCTATTGTAGGTAATGAATATGGTTTACCTTGGTGAAGAGGAGTGTGAAGACAGACAAAGGTAGTGGCAGCTCAATGCTCTGCATACTGCTACTCTATCCAAATGGGCTAGGAGTACAAAGGAGGTGAATTCAGCCGGAGAAGTGATGCCAAAATGGGCATCCTGGGAACCAGTGGGGTACATGGTTGTTGTTGGATCCCCTTTTTCGGTAGGGCCAAAGTGCTAGGGTCTTCGTTGGGGGAGGGGGGTGGGTGGGCGTACGAGTTGCATTGCAGGCAAGTAGGCAAGTATCATG